TAACAACCTTTATTTTTATTGCTTTAAAATTTGAAAAGAGATTTGCATCTATTATTTCATTTGATACTTCAACAACCCTGTGAGGAAGTTGCTACAGGCAACTTGAGACTAAGAAAGATCAAGTGACTTGTCCAAGGTAACTGAGCTAGCGTCTTAAGTGGTATTCAATCCCAGGTCTTTCTCACTCCAAGTCCAATACTCAGTTCACTGTGTCATCCTGCCTCTTGTCAAGTGTTCCAAAATCTCTAGTCTTAGTTTTTTTTTTTCCTAGCAGATAGCCAGAATTTGCTGGACATAGTAAGACTAACCATCACCCCAAAAATAACATGACTAATATTTGAGTCCACTGTATGCAGTCAGACCATCAAATAGTAGGAGAATAGGTCAAAATGAACATCAAATTGGAAGGTTAAAATGAGTGCATCAACTCTAACTGGGCCCTTTTAAAAGGGCTCCAACTTAGAAAAAGTGGAGAAGAAAGAAAAAAATAGATACTGACCTTGAGTCTCACCATTTTCTGCAAAAATCGAACAATTGTTAAATAGATACTGTTGAGTTTTAGAGGTTGAGGGGGGCTGGGACCCTAAAACCATGATACAAGGTCATGCCCAAATGAATTCCACCCAAGCCTTCTTTTAGCCAAAGACAAGGTTTATTAAAAGATTGATCAGGGTTGATGAGATTTAAATAATCCCCCACAGACTCTTAAGGAATCTAAGCATTTGTATTGCTAATGCAAGCAGGCCAGGTTTTAAGAATCAGAGCCCTTGGCTAGACTCTTAAAGAATCGGACACCTTAATGGAAGCCAGGTGGACCTTGTATACAGTAAGACTGTGGGAGGGATCTAGGAGTGGCCAAGTAGTTTGGGGTGACTGGAGGACGGGTCTAGGGAGGATCTTGATGGGAGTGACTGGGAGGTAGAATGGGGTCTAGATAGGATCAAGGGTGGGAAGTGGCTGGGGGTCCATCAGGTCCATAGACAATTGAGGGCCCAGCTAGGTTAATGGTAACAGAGAATTGGGAGATTGGGCCTCTGGGATAGTGAAAGGCCAGTTGATAGAATTATAGCCTCAGGCAAAGGGAAGAGACTTCATTGATCAAGTAAGAGAATTCAAGGACAGTCCAAGGGTTTTCTAGGGCCAGTAGATAAATGGGACCCGAATTCTTTCTGGGGTGAGGGGTAAAGGGCTCAGCTTGGGCCTATACGCCACCAATACCACAATTAAGGGCCAAAAGAACCCAGAAATGTCTTTACTAATGAACATTTGATTACCATTTGAGCAATATTACCTTTTAAGACAGCAAAAACCTGTAGGAATGAAATTAAGTCAAAAGAAAACTTTACAGTAAACTCAAGGGAAAGATATACATTCCAATCCTGTCTTTGAATTAAGCTGTCAGGACTACAACAAATAGATGTAACATGATACAAATGTGGCAATGTTTCCATTATAATCCATGCTATTAATGAACAACAGAAACACCACGTTTAGACCTTAACACCCCATTCACTGCTGTGCTAATAATCACTTAGGAAGAAAGTGAAGTTGGGAAGAATTTCTGGGCCAGCTATACTGTGGAAATATAGGCTATGTTGGTATCCTTGGATATATTAAAAGAATCAGAAGACTGTTAGTGGTTTTAGAGGCAGCTAGGTGGCGTAGTGGATAGAGCACTGGGCCTGGGGTCAGGAAGATCTGAGTTCAAATTTACTAGCTGTGTGACTCCAGTAAGTCGCTTAATCTCTTTAGGCCTTCCTCACAGGGTTATTGTGAGGATCAAATGAGATATTTGTAAAGTGTTTCACACAGTGTTTATCTTGTAGTTAGCATTAATAAATGCTTATTCCTCTTCCTGCTTCCCCCTTTAGTGGCTTCTCTATGCATGCTTTATAGAAAGACACAAATAAAAACTGTACAAGATGAGATTATGTGTGTGTGTGTGTGTGTGTGTGTGTGTGTGTGTGAGCAGGGTGTTAGATAATCTCTGATGCTCCTTTCAACTCTAAAAATATGACTCTATGATTTCTAAGATTCCATATTGCCTTGATTGTGAACCCCATCATTAGAGGAGTAGCCACACAGATGAAATCACAGCTAATGACTGTAATGACGTAAATGGAAAAAACACAACAAATCTGAATGTGGTGTAATTATAACAACCAAGCTCATCCCTCGAGAAGGTATTCCTTGCTTCTTTCTTTGGAGTGACATGAGACCGCGGGTGTGGAAAAGTGGATACGCTATCTGACTCTGTTGATGTGCAACTAGCCAAACTAGTTAAGTCAGGTTTTGCTAAACTAGTTAAGGATAGTTGCTGCTCATAATAACTTGCATTTTTGCAAAAGCCTGCCTATCTCTTTCTCTTACTTTCATTGGAGAGTTGCTCATTATGGATGTAGGTTATTCTCATATTTTATAAAGAGGAGAAAGTAAGTTTATAATCATTAGTTATTAATGTTCTCTTGGTTGCCTTTTTTTGGACATTAATGTCATCCATGATTTTTTCCCATTCTTTAAGGGTCTTTCACTACTTAAGATAGAAAGTGATTTCTTAATGCTGCAAAGACTGTTTGCTCCATCTTGCCATAGCGTGCATGATTATTTCCTTTTGAGGGGCTCATGATGAGATGAGTAGGAAGACCACCATGAGGGTCGTGGCAGCTGATGCACCAACATAGATGATCAGAGAGGTCCCTTCCAATTCCAAATGTAGGACCTTATGATCTCTGAGATTCTGTTGTTCCATGACAGTGATGATCCACATCAACAGAGGGAGCATCCACATGGGCAAAATCACAAATCCATCAAAGGGTGATCTGTGCTAGGGAGGAAGTGTAGTATAGTTGTATAAGGAAGGTGAATTTTAGTGTGTGTAAAGTGGATTTTTTGTTATTCTTTCTTAGAGTTTTCTTCCTAGGATCCATAGCCATAACAATCTCTACTTCCCAGGTGTTAGATATGAGTTTTCACGATAATGGTTCCAAATAGTTTCTACTGCACAGTCTCGGTAGATAAAGGGGTGAAATAATGTACAATTGTGAGGCTATTGATGGCAATATGCCTTCTTTGTCTGTTGCCCTATAAAGCAGGTGGGCACTGCTCAGTGAGTAGGGACCCCCTTAGGGGTGAATGCACAAGCTGGAATGCTGTGTGTGCCTTGATCAGCCCCCATCAAGGCTTGGCAGAGAGAATCTGTGTATTTGCCTCAACCGGCCCCCACTGAGGCTTGAGGGGATTTAGGGGAATGCACAAGTTGTGCTGGTCTCGATTGACCCCATCGAGACAGAGGGGTTATTGTGCCCCGCTTCACGCTGGCCCTTGCAAGAAGGGTTATTAGAGAATGCTGTAGGAGTTGGAGCTCCCATTATCAGCAAACTCCTTTTGAGAAGACAACTAGAATAAAGTAAGCTTATTTAACCCCTTATTATGACTCCATCCCTGTCTTCCTGTCTGACTGGATCAAACATGAACCTACTACTGAGAGAGTTGCTGTGTCTCTTTCCTAAGAAATGGCATAGTTGGTGGGTTTAGTTGTCCAACAAGTTGAAAGAGCATTGAGTCTCTAACCAGAGGGCCTAGGTTGAATCTCAGCTCTCCAGATTATAAGCTGAGAGATCTTGGACAAATCCTTTACTTTTTTGGGTTTCACTTTCCTCATTTGTAAAACAAAGAGATTAGACCACATGACCTTGAAAATTCCTTCCAGTTCTAAATCGATGCTCTTATGTTTGCCTGTATTTAAACAGTTGAATAGGACTTCTGAGATCTTGTTATATGGTAAGCCCCAAGAGCAAAAGAATTGGGTCCAACTACAGTGAATTTTGAGCTGAAATGGGTCTTAGCCATCATCTAGTCAGATCCCTGTATTTTACAAATAGCTATTGGACTCGGAGTAAGAAAGAACTGGGTTCAGATCCTGCCTCAGACTTTTACTAGCTGTGTCACATTGGGCAAATCACTTAACCTTTTTGTGCCTTAGTTTTCCTATCTATAAAAATGAGGGGGTTAGACTCAGCAAGCTTCCCCGGTTCTGTCCAGCTCCAATTCTATGTATCTCTTTTCCCAAAGAGATGAAGTAAGTTTCAAAGGTTACACAAGGACCATTATTCAAAGTCATGTCTCCAGACTCCAAGTCCACTTTGCCAGAGGGGTCAAACACACTGTAATCAGGAAATATTTGACAAAATAAATAAAAATACAATGAAATATAGGTAACATCACGTTTAAAAACTAAGTCATTATGCTGCCAGGAGGAATCCTTATATACAGATTAGTGACATCATCATGCTATACCACACTTTCTTCCTCCAGTACACACAAGGTTTAATGAACCCTGAAGTGCTCATAAATGCTTAATAAATGCTTTTGATTATATTGATGATGATGAAGAGGAGTAAGGCAATAGGGAAACCATTTTAACTTTACCATGAATAAAGTACTAAATAGTCCCTAAAACGGTTTCATAATGAAAACAACACAAAATTGCTCACTCTATTCCTTTCAAGTGTTTGCAGAACTAAGGTGGTTAAAATATGTGGTGAAATCAGTTCTAATTGAAGATACATGTTAAAATTTTACTCTCTTCAGTTGGTCAAATTTTTGATTAGACAACCCTTTATTTTTTTGGGGGGGTACTTCACCATTTAAAAATAATGCAAGCCACTTGAGGGCTATTTGCTAATTATCATCCTCTTAAATTATGCAATGGCCATATGAGTAAGTTCTTGCAGTCAGCTAATTTTTGGTATCACCAACCTATCAAGGTCTCTGTCACTCCTTGTGTTATTAAAAGGCTATCTTTTACTGGTTTGCATGTAATGACTTTAGATTGATCCTGATATGCTAATATCTTATATCAAGTGTCTGAATAAATTCCTGTTCTAGCACTGTCACTTTCCATTTCTCCCCTGAAGGAGGAATGTTATTTTGTGGGCACGTGTTCCAAGTGCGGAAAGTCTAACCAGAAAGGAAACCTTTGTTTTTCTTCCTTTCTGTAGGTGAGAGATCGAATTGTCCACCTCATTGCGACACAGTGCCTGAATCTGGACTGCTTGGTCCTTAGTTCCTGCTCCTGGGTTACAGATATAAGCTTGCTGGAAATTAGTACCTACCTACGAACAATCAGGTACCACTTACTGTGTGAACATCCGAACTAGAACCCCCAGGCAGAATTAGAATGCTGCAGGTAAAAACTGCTCTCACTCACAAGTTACCCCACCAAATTCAGCCAAAGGAATAAATTCAAGTTTTTTTTTTTCCTGCTTGTAGACTATAAGCTCTTTGAGGGGAGAGACTGTAATATTTTTGTATTTGTAACCTTAGAGCCTAGTTTAGTATCTTGCATTGTTTCTTAATGTTTGCTGAATTGAATTTAGCTGAGAGAGTGAAATTTTACACGACCCCCCAAAAGGTTCTTTCATGGGAGTATTACAGTGCAATTTCATCAGTGCTTATGTGGTGTTCACAAAAATTGTACTACCTTGAATACATAATACGTAAAGGTTTTGTTGTTTGGTCAACCTCTCAGTACAGGAACTTGTTCCACCAACAGCAGATCTCTATGTTCTCTACAATTGAGGAACATAGAGATTAAAAGACTTGCCCAGGGGTCATCCGGCTAGGAAGTGTCAGGGGTGGAATCTGCACCCAATTGCCTTTTTTTTTTTTGGCAGTTGGGGTTAAGTGACTTGACCAGGGTCACACAGCTAGTAAGTGTCAAATATTTGGTCTGAGGCCAGATTTGAACTCAGGTCCTCCTGACTTCAGGGCTGGTGCTCTATCCACTGCACCACCTAGCTGCCCCTGTACCCCATGTGTTCTTGACTAAAAGCCCAGCACTCTATCCACTACTGGACATTGCCTTGAATGCAAAATAGACATTCAAGTAACATACACTGCAAGATCATTTATTTAGAGACCAAAAGGACCTTTAAGAACCAACACACTCAAAAATATCCCCAAGTTTATGGATCCCCAGATTAAGAACCCATGATATAATAATAATATAATATGATATAATGTAATATAATTAATATAATATAATAATAATGCTTACACTTATATAGCATATGCTGTGTGCCAGAGATTGTATAAGCACTTTACAATTATTATCTCATTAAATCCTCATACACAACAACCATGGGAAGTAGGTGCTATTATTATTATTGTCATTTTACAAATAAGGAAACTGAAGCAGGCAGGTTAAGTGACTCACTTAGTGTCACACAGCTAGGAAGTATCTGAGCATGGATTTGAACTTGACCCCAGGCCCAGCACTCTATCCACTGTGCTACCTTACTGCCCCTAATATTCGATTGGCTGTTTGGTTGGCATCCTCCCAAAGTATAGCTTTTTGAAAGCTTTTCAAGTTTTTCACCCAATCTGAAGAATTAGTAGAGGGTTGATAAACTGACTTCATTGGGAAACCAGGCCAAAGACTAAAGACGGACTGTACAAAGGGAGTGATCTGTGTGCATGTATGTGTGTACCTTTGTGTGTGCTTGGAAATCTATCTGTTGAAGGGATGGCAGAAACTAGTGTTATTTTTGCATCTATAAATGTATGCAATGATTTTTCATGTAGATTTTACTTCAAAAACTCCTCAGACATTTCCCATATGTTTTTTATGAACTACATATCAGTGGTTCAAAGGAAGTCACAGTAGAACAATTTGGCCTTCTTTTATGCTCTGCTCACTGAACTCATGTTTATTTATGGTTTTTCTTAACGCCTTCCTTTTTTTCCTTCAAACTCCCACACACTAACCTCTCATGACCAGAAAATTGAGTGCAAAGCCAGGAAGGGATGAGCTTATTTAGAATCTTAGCAATTATGGAATTTTGCATAGATTCCAGACTTAGCCAAATGAACATGGGGGTGAGCAAAGGACAATTCATTATCATCTAAGGAGAGGATGTTTTGAATTATGAACAATTCTTTTAATTGCTTTGGCTTGCTTTCTCTTTCCATCACTGCATTCCACTTCAGTGTGTAATGTGGCTTGGTTGGCTTGCAGAGGCAGCCTAGCACAGTGCAAAGAGCACAGGACATGGAATGGGGAAACATCTGGGTTTGAATCTTGCCTCCTGAGTTTCCTAGTTGTGTGAGAATGGACAAATTCACTTCACCTTTTTTTTGCAAAATGAGAATAATAATAGTCTTTACCTCACAGTGTTATTGTTGCGAATTCAGCAATCAGATAACGTTTGTACATTGCTTTTCAAACCTTGAAGTGCCACATAAGTAGCAGCTATTATTATTGATTAGCATAGTCTGTAGTTGTACTGTTTGTTTGTTTTTTTTAAGATCTCATCTCTTCTTGTCCTAAGTGCTGGGAAGGTCACTGGAACTGTGCTTGAGATTCTGCAGAATAAATCTGTTCATCTTAAATCTACAGATATCTTGATGTGAGTGGATGTAAAAAAGTCACTGACATTGGGATCCAAGCTTTGGCAAGAGGCTGCCACCAGCTTCACTATCTTGACCTGAGTTCGACAGGGATAAGCAAAAGAGGGTAGGAGATTTTTAAGCGTGTCATTTTCAATTTTGAGACTTGTGCTCTTTGGACTTTTTGTTTCTTTTCTCCTCTTTAGTTAACCACTTAATTAATACTGTGGGTTGTCTGAAGATTATTTATTTTGATGGTAATTTTATCAACTACCTCAAAATATTATGAGTCTATTATGTCATCCATCTGTGCAAAAATACTTAAGATAGAAATGGAGGTATCCAACACTGTCCTTGTGTTTTAAGTTTTCTATTTTATTTGCTAGTAAATGGGAAAACTTCCTTTCCTCAATGGCTAACTTTTAGATCAGAAGTCCCCAGCAGATTGAATCTTGGACCCTGACCAGACTGGTCCTATAGCTGTAGCTCAGGCTCTATCATACTCCTTGAGGGCAAAGGATACATGGAATGCTTGTGAGTCACAGGAAGGTAAGTTAGGCTGGAGGTCACTACGGGCATCAGGAATGCCTGGCTTGGTGAAGGATTTCAAATATACTCAAATTAAGTGGAGGAGATATGTCCAGAGGCTGCTAACAAATGCCTTCCTACTTTATAGCAGGCATTTTTATGAGTGTGGGGGGTGGCAGTGGGGACTAGGGAGGAAGGTATAGTTGGAAGTTACTGAGCTTGAAATGCAGTGTCTACCAATATGTCCTTTGCCCTCTAAAACCCTTGAGGCTTCCTGCCATGTCCCATCCTAGACTTACACTTCCCCTCCAGCAACTTCCTTCCCCATATTGGGATTTTAAGTAGCTCCTAACTTCAAAAACTTAGGATTCCCTTTTTCAGACAATGGAATTCAGAATTCACTTTTTCTTCTGGTAAAACTTTAGTATTCAAATTGGATAGCATGTGTACATCCTTGAAATTAAAACCATGATCATGATTTCTTTATCCTAGATCTGGTGTGATAAGAGATAAGAGTCAGTGGAGGTTATTGAAAATATGAGTGACCCCATTAAAATTTGTATACAACATAAAACTAAAGATTTGTGATTTCCTCAGTATAAGGAATGTCCGATGTGGGAATTCCCTCCCCCCATATGGATGACAACCTATCAATGACTTAGGAGAAAAGTCCTGGGAAGTTATCTTGATATTTCACGTATTTGAAAGTAGAATTTGAGAAAATGAGTCCAAGCAACTCTATGTAGAGTGTTGAGATGGCAGCATCAATGTATGGGATAAACATACATATGGCTTAGTGTGAGTCAAAACTTGACCAGAAGAAACCATTTCTACCTAAGTGTCATTGGCAGTGAGAAGCTGTCATGATGAGATAGCAAGATTCTTCTGTTCATAAACTTGACAATTCCATTTTGTGGTTAATATTTCCAGTAGCAGTGCATGGATTCACATTAGCAGGGCAGATCATCCTTGTAGGTGTGCCCTTGTCAAACTCTGTTATAAGAGGGTTTTAGCGACAATTAAGAAATACCTCGTTAACCAGGAAGACATCTTGATCATTAGTGAAGCTCACTGATTCAGAGAGCATAAATCTACTTTTAAACTGAGGGTTGGGTTTTGGTTTTTTTTTTTTTGCCTCTCACATTCTTGACTTTAAAAATCACCAGTGGGTATCTGTTATATTTTTAGCTATCTCTGCTTTTTGTCTTGATGATGACAAGGGTTGTTCCCAACTCCATATTATTCAGATACCATTCACTATCTTTTTATAGGTCTGGGTTTGCAATGTAAGTACTCTAAATGCTTTTTTAATTTTTTATATCTAAAGAAAGAGACTAAGGAATCTTGTCACACTAATATTCTAAGTGGAATGCTGGGGCTAATTAACCGCATAACCTTCTCTATTCACTAACTCTGCCTAATCAGTCCTTTTCTTTCCCTTATGGCTAACATGCCCTTCTACCTCACTTCATTGCATCTTTGTTGCCAAATCCTTTTCATCCATCTGTTCTATGCTCTGTCCCACTCTGCTGATTCCTTTCCTTATATTCCCATTCCTATTCTTTTAGTCTCCCTCCCCATCATTCCATATCTTTCCTGTCCAGCCCTTCCACTGTACACTTTGGAAGTTCCATTTCCACTTTTAACAAACATCCCTTCATTCTGAACCTCTTTTTTCTACACGTAATTCCTTTCTTTGCATTAGCTGAAGCTTGGTGTTCCTCTGAGGACCCTGTACCTGCAGCTATCTTCTCTAATGGTAGCCTCTCCTTACCTTGCTTGCCTATCTCACAAGGCCTGGAGATGGAGGCAACATATTCCTTGCTCCTCTCTGACATGTCTACACTCTTACTTTGCCATCATCATTTAGCAGTCTCTCCTTTGAAGTTCGCATTGACTGTTTACATTCTCTTTTAACCATTACTCTTGTCACCAATCAAACTTCTGATGATTTTCACCTTTTCTTTTATAAATATGGCATTGTCTCACAGGCTTCTTTATCGTTTCCTTCGTCAACCTCATTTCAACCTCATTTTTCTCCATATCTAGTCTGGATCCTACTGTCGATCATTTCAATAATGTTCTCTCCTTAGCCCTTGAATCAACTTGTCCCATTGACTTTCTGCTGACTTTTGCGTTCTCTAACTGTGGTAATGGCTGCCATTTTATTCTTCCACTCCAATCTTCAAGTTGCTGACCATTTCTAGAGAAATCATGAAATCACTTTGACTGGATCCATTACAAATTCAACAGTTGAATCTGCTCATCCTGTGTCCCTCCCATCCCCATAAAATTATTTCTGGTTCAAAGCACTCTGTGGATCTGTACTCTGTCAAACACATAGCTCACAAGTACCCACCAATGTATGTGCTTTTACTCGGCTAGAAGATATTATTTCAAAGCAAAAAGATTTCTCTCCCCTTGTACAGATAGGATACAATTTAAGTAGGTTCCACACCAGCAATGGGGAAGGTACACGTTTGTGTGGACATGCTTGACCAGAAAACATGACTAGAGGTTTTATAGGTGGCCAGATAATATATGTGATGGGGCACTCATGTCAGTAACCAGGATGCTTTAGATAAGAATTTCTTGCCTTTTCCAACACTTGGCCTATCTTTCCTCCTGTGCCTCAATTACCCCATCTTGGCTCTATACAAGAAGAGGAAAGGGTAAATGAACATACTATCTGAAGATTGTTTGGAGCCACTGAACAGTGACAGACAAGACGGACTCAGAATATAAAAAACAAAAAAGTAATGAGATGGCTTTATCTCTTCCCCGACCTTAAACCTTGGGTAAAACCAAATCTGCCAGTTAGTTCATGAGATAGCACACTTGTGTACTGTAGATAAGGAAGGAAGTGGAAAGGGAATGAATTCAAGTGAGAATCTGGAATGCTATCTAGTTGTCACTTTAGATTCTGTAGTTATTCCATTAATAAAAAGGCAAAACAAGACTAATGAGATGTATTTAATCCAAAGTGTATACTAAGGCATAGTTTTCTGAAAATGAATTAAATTAATATTTTACAGATAAGAAATCACTGACAAATAGTATTTTATATTTCTATACTATAGCACTTAATTGCTCCCTAATTGACTTACACATTATTTTTTGCCTTTCTTTTTACATCATAAACTTTATATAGGTATGGATGTTCATCTTAGGATCATGGGAGCATAGATTTAGAGCTGAAATGAACCTTACAGGTCAAGTGGTCCAACACTTTCTTTTTACAGATGAGGAAACTGAGGCCTAGACATGATAAGTGATGGTGGCATCCAAATTATCTAACATATCAAGGAAGGAGATATCATAAATAATCAGTTTTCTAGATAACCGAGTATCAAAACCTTTTAAGAAATAACCACTTTTGATAGAAATCTTTCTAAAACGTACTTCTCCATTATCTTAGATAGGGTACGTGGAATATAATTTTCCCTTTCCTTCAGTTTATCTCTTCAAGATTGGCATTGTGAATTTCAACTATTTTGTCTGATAAGGCAGTCATTTCAGATGTGTCTGGCTCTTTTGCCTTGTACTGGAATGGTTGAATGCTGTGATTCATGAATTCATTCTTCCTTCTCACAGCCAGACTGGCAGCTACCATGACTTGCTCCTATAAGGGTATATGCAAGTTTCCCCCTCACTCCTTTCCATTCTGCTCTTCCTCATCTGCTAGTCTGGAAAACCAGATGAGGGCAATAGGATTGTGTCTAAAAACAAAGGTAACAGATTCTGAGTGAGGACCCATTATCCAAGTATAAGATTGAGTCTTAGTGCACTGACCTTATGACTTCTATCATAGCCAGTGAGAGCCTTTTTTCTTCTCCCCTAATTTCCCCTCAATACAATGCATTCTACTTGAGGGGAGGCATTATTTCTCCTTTTTGTATTTATATTCACATGCTCTTTCAAGTAGTAGCTACAGAAATGCTTACTGAATTGCATTGGATTGAATTCCTGGTTCTCAGCTCTGTTTTGGATGATTGGAGTTGGTTCCTGGCACCATTCAGTAAATAGCTCTCCCCTTACTGAACTTCTTTCTTTGTATGTGCCAAGCGTAGTCCTAGCTAGACACTTAATTGATGCCCAGTGAATACTACTTGGTCAATTGATTAGCATACCTATTATCCCTGGGAATCTTAATGTTTTTTTTCTTTAGTTGGTAGAAAAATGAAAGACGAGGAATTACTCAGCTAACATTTACTAAGTGTTAGCTATGTGCCAGGCACTATGCTAAACACTGTGGCTACAAAAAAGGCAAAAACAAAAACAGTCCCTGCTGTCAAGGAGCTCAGTCTGGTGGAGGCGATAGGATGTTAACAACTAAGTACAAATAAGACATATACAAGATAAATTGGAAATAATCAACAGAGGGAAGCCACTAGCATTTAAGAGGGACCAGGAAAGGGTTCTGCAAAAGACGGGAGCAGCCAAGAAGGCTGATTTCAAGGAAGTCAGGGAACTAGGAGGCAGTGATGAGGAGGGAGAGCATTCTAGGCATGAGGGGACGGTTATTGGAAACACTCGGGGTTGGGAGAAGGAGTGTCTTGTGTGAGTAACGATAGGGAGGCCATTGATGTGTTGGGTCAC